ACAACAACAAGAATAAAATTTAATTTCATTATGATATCACACACAACAAATAAAGTTTTTTTGAATTTCATTTATATTATACTTTAGAAACTTGCACACCTTCAGCTGAACTCTCTAAGGATTCATGTTTTAGGCTTGAACTTTTAAACTTTTTGTTTAAGTTATTTTTTTCATAAAAGTTTCTTTCACTTTGTAATGAAACTGTTTTTTTTAGTTTCGTCTTCGTAAAGTTCTCACACTCTATTAATCATTCAAAAATGAATGGATTTTTTAATAACAACTGCCACGCATTTCTATCAACCAACAACAACAAGAACGACAACAAAAATTAAACTATAAATTAAAATAGCGAATAAACAACAAGCAAATAATACCGTTACAAGGATAACAACTGACGTATAACTGTGTATACTACAAACGACTGACTGCTAAACTTTAGGGCAGGCTAAAAGCCTGTCTATACTTGCATACAGGCAAGCAATAGCGAAAAATAGAAAGGAAAGGAATAAAACAAACTAAACTAAAACGACAACAACAAGAAAGTGCAGCAAGTAATATGTATCTTAATAATAAAAGGACACACTGTTACACACTGTACTCGAATACAAACTGTATTACAAATACAAGTAACTTCTGACATATCGAGTAAATGTGAATAAAGATTAGGGTGTTCCTTTTTTTAAAAGAAAATAAATTATAAAGTCGTTCAACTGAAGATCTGCTTGACTAAAAATCTGTCTATAGTGTTCAATTATTGATATGTCAATAATTGCTTAAACATAGACCATATATTTTACAATAATCGTTCGACTTTAGGTCTGTCTATAGTCGTCCGATATAATATTTATCTATAGTTGGTAGATTATAGATCTTGTTTTATGTCGTTCGACTATTAATCTGTATATTATAGTAGAACTGAACTAGTACTGAACTAGAATTGGACTAGAACTGAACTAGAACTGAACTAGAACTGAACTAGAACTGAACTAGAACTGAACTAGAACTGAACTAGAACTGAACTAGAACTGAACTAGAACTGAACTAGAACTGAACTAGAACTGAACTAGAACTGAACTAGAACTGAACTAGAACTGAACTAGAACTGAACTAGAACTGAACTAGAACTGAACTAGAACTGAACTAGAACTGAACTAGAACTGAACTAGAACTGAACTAGAACTGAACTAGAACTGAACTAGAACTGAACTAGAACTGAACTAGAACTGAACTAGAACTGAACTAGAACTGAACTAGAACTGAACTAGAACTGAACTAGAACTGAACTTGAACTGAACTAGAACTGAACTAGAACTGAACTAGAGAACTAGAACTGAACTAGAACTGAACTAGAACTGAACTAGAACTGAACTAGAACTGAACTAGAACTGAACTAGAACTGAACTAGAACTGAACTAGAACTGAACTAGAACTGAACTAGAACTGAACTAGAACTGAACTAGAACTGAACTTGAACTGAACTAGAACTGAACTAGAACTGAACTAGAACTGAACTAGAACTGAACTAGAACTGAACTTGAACTGAACTAGAACTGAACTAGAACTGAACTAGAACTGAACTAGAGCTGAACAAACTGAACTAGAACTGAACTAGAACTGAACTAGAACTGAACTAGAACTGAACTAGAACTGAACAAGAACTGAACTAGAATGAACTAGAACTGAACTAGAGCTGAACTAGAACTGAACTAGAACTGAACTAGAACTGAACTAGAACTGAACTAGAACTGAACTAGAACTGAACTAGAACTGAACTAGAACTGAACTAGAACTGAACTAGAACTGAACTAGAACTGAACTAGAACTGAACTAGAACTGAACTAGAACTGAACTAGAACTGAACTAGAACTAAAGAACTGAACTAGAACTGAACTAGAACTGAACTAGAACTGAACTAGAACTGAACTAGAACTGAACTAGAACTGAACTAGAACTGAACTAGAACTGAACTAGAACTGAACTAGAACTGAACTAGAACTAAACTAGAACTGAACTAGAACGGAACTATAACTGAAATAGAACTGAACTAAAACTGAACTAGAACTGAACTAGAACTGAACTAGAACTGAGCTAGAACTAAACTAGAACTGAACTAGAACTGAACTAAAACTGTACTCAAACTGATCCTGAACCTGAACGTAACTAAAACTGAACTGAACTGAACATAACTAGAACTCAATTATAACTAAAATAGATTTATGCGGTAGATAATATTTATATTATTGTTAAATATAGTTGGTCTGGTAATGAAATTAAATTTGAAAAGTGTCTGTCCCCCTTAATTTATTTCCCATGAACTAATAATAAATGTCAGTCAAGACAAACACCACCTCGACCACCTGCATGAAGGTAAACATTTACCTAAGTGTGTGGGTGTAAGGCAAAACAACAAGAAAAGTAATAACGTCACAATTTTTGATGATACACCGTTAAATTTATAGTAAAATTTATGACATCTCTCAATGATGGTGTCAATGCTTAGGGAACATGGGGTGATATTCACGAATATTAATAAAAAAATTAGTAAAAGTGGTAAAAAATGAAGAAAATATAAAAATATATAAGCAATTTTTGGACATACTTGAACGACAATATGATAACCTATACCAAAGCGTACACCATGAGGTACTATTTCCTGTGATAGTTTCATCCTCATAGAATTTGTTAAAAAGATAAGTGTAAGGGACTTTATCAAACATGATTCTAAATAGGTAGCTATTCCTTTCCACTATAGTGTTCGTGTAGCGTTTAAAAAGTGTCTATAAAAATAAATAAAGAAAAAACTGACAACTATAATCGAACAAACAAACTGACAGACAGCAGCAAATATTGTATAAATTAATCGATTTTATACCAACACCAATCTGACATAAAATATTCATAAATAACAGGCAAATTAAATAAAATTAGTTTAACAACTCAGATAACTATAAATAAAGTACAATACTAGGGTAATTATGACAACAATTAACGCCTTAATATCTAGATTTTATGGACAATTACCTTTTTTGGACAAATTTGTAAATAAAAAACGCAACAGTAGAGATAGGTCTAGACCTCCTGACCAGCAGCTGGACAAAATGTAACACCAAAAATAGTATTAGTTGCCACAATGTGTAATTTTAACAAAAGATTACCACATATTATTATTACGTTTGTTTTTTCTTAGCTAATTAATTATAAACTTTTTTGTAATAGAAAACAAGGAACTGGTATTACTTTAACTTAATAGCATTGTTTAAAAATATATTTACAGATTATTTATTTAAACATTTCTTTTGTTGTATGCCTTTAATTATATTTAAATTTTTCACTTTTTTCTAATTTTATTCAATTTAACTTTTTCACTTTACATTTTTTTGCATTTGCCATTTTTCTTATGTAAAAATTTCGCTTCTCTCTTTGAACATAATTTTGTTTTTTATATTTTTTTCATTTATTACAAATCGTTGCTCTATTTTTATAAAAAAAAAATGTTAAATTTTTGTTGTTGCTTTAATTTATTTATTATTACAAAATATTTTTTATGCAAATTTGTGTATAAATTTTTTGTCTATGTATGACAGAGTCCTGCGCCGACAGATATTAAAGGAGGCGGCGACTGACACTAAATATGTCGGCGGCGGCTTAAAATCGACTGTAAGCCGGCTAAGTTTTCAACTACGTTTAGTTTTTAAATTTTCAACGATTTTAAATAAAAACGGAATCCGAGAGATCAGAAAGTGGAATTTTGGAAGCAAATATATTGTTTATAAGTTGTGTGAGAAATTATGCAGGGATGAATAAAAAATTCTTAAAAATTAAAAACAAATCCTCTCCAAGTTTTACGAGGATCTACCGATATTTAACCCTATCCTCCATATTAAACATCTTGCAGAAAATCAGTTTCTAAAAAATTTTGCATTAAGAAAATGATCAATAACGTAAAAACAAATATATTTTATTTGTTTATTTGCTAGCTATACCCAGTGTGCTGTGCTACCCTAAAAGCAATATAAATAAGAAATGATTTTTATGATTCTAACTACAATGGTTTTCCAGATATACATTTTGTTACATATGGGAGATTCCACGCAAATTTCGCAAATTATTCCGAACGTTAATTAAGATTTTAATTTAATCTATGAAAAATTTGAATAATGTAATTGTTTCTCAGATATACAAAATTTTGTATTTAATTCATATGGGAAGTGCCAAGCCCCCCCATTGAAAGTCCGCCCGTTATTCTCTAAATGTTCTTCAGTAAAATTTGAAGATTCTAGTTTCTCATATATACGAATTTTTCTATTTAATTCATATGGGAGCTCCCCAGATGAAAGCCCCCCAGATGAAAGTCCTCTCTTTTTTCTCCAAAATGTTCAGATGAATATTAAAGTTCTTCGTGCAAAATTTGAAGAATTTTGTTCTATTAGTTTCCCAGATAAACAAATTTTTGTATCTAATTCATATGGGAGGTTCCGCTCCCCTCAGAATTTTCTTTATTTATTTTATTCATTTATTTATTTAAGATTCAATTTTACAATTAAAAAAAAAAGAATTTTCGAGAAATTGCTTTAAATTAAATTTAAAATTTCGAGAATATTCTATAAAAAGTAAAAATTTCGAAAATATTATATAAAAAATAAAAATTTTAAAAATCTTCTATAACAAGGGAAAAATTTTAAATTAAATTTTAAATATCGAAAATATATAAAAAATAAAAATTTAAAAAATTTTCTATAAGAAGGGAAAAATTTTAAAAATTCAAAATGAAAATTTTCAAGAATTTTCTATAAAAGATAAAATTTCGAAAATTTTCCAAAAATTTAAAAAATATTCTATAAAAAGTGAAAATTAGTTAGTTTAAATCTATGCCCATGATTATTTATTGCGATTAGTTTGTTTTTTGATTACATTTACACACCTCATCAAAAACCCTGTAATAAGTGTTGCAATTTTTCGTACTACGACTAACTCGACAACCCTATAAACTGCGACCAACTTCAGTCTATTATCGACAACGCAGCAATTAAGAACAATGAATTTATAAAGGAGTGTGAAAATAAGCAATTTCCCAAGGAAAAAGCAAGAATTTTACAAGAAAATTAGTGAATTTTAATAAAATACAGTGTAAATAATATAATACAACAGAAATAAACTTGAAAATTTGTGATTTTAAACCCCAAAACAACTAAAGAAAAAACTACGGAAATTTTTTTTAGAAAGTTCATACAAAGCAAAATAAAAGAAAAAAATTGCTTGTGTATGCGATGGACTAAAAAAACACACACACACACACAGACTTCAATATAAAGTGTAGTGATAAATAACACAAAAAATAATAACAAAAAGTGCTAAAACAAAAAAAAAAAAATATTTAGTACTTTTTATAACTCACCTTTTTTGCTTTTGTTTCTAGAGTAAACACAAACAATTATATTGTTTGTGAATGGCTGCTCTTTGTAATAAACTACAAAAACTACAAACAATTAAAAAAACAAACAATAAATTTGCAATAAATAGTTTAAAAAATAGATTTAGTTGTAAAGAAAAACAATTGATTAAAAAACAAAATCTTGTTTTCAAGCAGCCATCTTTAATTTTTCCACTAAAAAACAACAACAACAGCAAGACAAAAGCAGTTAAAGCAACAAGAACTAGTAGAATAACAACAACAAGTAAAACAGTGACAACAACAACAGCTATAACGATAACATAGCAATAAATCCCACCACAGCACAGTAATAATAATAACAACAAAAACAAATAGTGCGTGCGTGTGTGCATATGTCAAAAATTCTGTGTTGTTTTTTTCCAGTTTTATTTTTTGCTCATGTTTTATTGCGTTTTTTGTTTTCGTGCTCTCCATCTACTAAAAATTGATTAAACTCACCACTACAATTACAAGACTGCTGTTGGCTTTCTTTTATTTTGTGAAATTCTCCACCTTTTCTATTATTACATTTCATTCATATACAATACCAACAGAGAAGAAGTTTCCCAAAAAAAGAAGCAAATAATAAAAAATAGATGAAAAACCCTAACGAATTTGTATGCTAAAAGAAATTTTAAAATTAAAACGCAGTTTTAACTTCGTGTTACAGAAAAGTTATTATCCTTTAAAATTGCAAATTTTTAAATGAAATCAATAAGAAAAAATTCACTAAATTTTAAAAATTAACAGACAAAAAAAGAAAAACAATTTGTGTTGAAGAAATCAATAAAACTTTTATTTTTTTTTGTAAAATTGTGATAATTATAACAAAAAAACGAATAGTGTATAAAAAATATTATCAAGGAAGGAGAACATTGACTGGAGAAGTTAACAAAAATGGAAATTGCCTTAAATTCAGACACACCAGGAGGTTTCAAACATGAAAATGGTAAATATTCTATAATAAATTATACCTATGTTTTATTGAAATTTTATTGAAAATTAATAACGGCAAAACATCATTTTAATAATTCTTGTTACATCTTGTGCATATCAAATATCTTAAAATTTTCTCATATTGTACAAATTTGTGTTGTTGGTAAATCTTGTGTGTATTTATGTACTTACTAGGGGGTATATTTTATTTCAGTCCATTTTTAATGCAAATATTTGTTAGAATATTTCTTGTTCAGTTCAGTTCTAGTTCAGTTCAGTTCTAGTTCAGTTCTAGTTCAGTTCTAGTTTAGAACTAGTTCAGTTCTAGTTCAGTTCTGGTTCAGTTCTAGTTCAGTTCTAGTTCAGTTCTAGTTCAGTTCTATTTCAGTTCTAGTTCAGTTCTAGTTCAGTTCTAGTTCAGTTCTATTTCAGTTCTAGTTCAGTTCTAGTTCAGTTCTAGTCAGTTCTAGTTCAGTTCTAGTTCAGTTCTAGTTCAGTTCTAGTTCAGTTCTAGTTCAGTTCTAGTTCAGTTCTAGTTCAGTTCTAGTTCAGTTCTAGTTCAGTTCTAGTTCAGTCTAGTTCAGTTCTAGTTCAGTTCTAGTTCAGTTTCTAGTTCAGTTCTAGTCAGTTCTAGTTCAGTTCTAGTTCAGTTCTAGTTCAGTTCTAGTTCAGTTCTAGTTCAGTTCTAGTTCAGTTCTAGTCAGTCTAGTTCTAGTTCAGTTTAGTTCAGTTCTAGTTCAGTTCTAGTTCAGTTCTAGTTCAGTTCTAGTTCAGTTCTAGTTCAGTTCTAGTTCAGTTCTAGTTCAGTTCTAGTTCAGTTCTAGTTCAGTTCTAGTTCAGTTCTAGTTCAGTTCTAGTTCAGTTCTAGTTCAGTTCTAGTTCAGTTCTAGTTCAGTTCTAGTTCAGTTCTAGTTCAGTTCTAGTTCAGTTCTAGTTCAGTTCTAGTTCAGTTCTAGTTCAGTTCTAGTTCAGTTCTAGTTCAGTTCTAGTTCAGTTCTAGTTCAGTTCTAGTTCAGTTCTAGTTCAGTTCTAGTTCAGTTCTAGTTCAGTTCTAGTTCAGTTCTAGTTCAGTTCTAGTTCAGTTCTAGTTCAGTTCTAGTTCAGTTCTAGTTCAGTTCTAGTTCTTGTTCAGTTCTAGCTCAATTTTAGTTCAGTTCTTGTTCGGTTCTGGTTCAGTTCTACTGCAGTTCTAGTTCAGTTCTAGTTCAGTTCTAGTTCAGTTCTAGTTCATTTCTAGTTCAGTTCTAGTTCAGTTCTAGTTCAGTTCTAGTTCAGTTCTAGTTCAGTTCTAGTTCAGTTCTAGTTCAGTTCTAGTTCAGTTCTAGTTCAGTTCTAGTTCAGTTCTAGTTCAGTTCTAGTTCAGTTCTAGTTCAGTTCTAGTTCAGTTCTAGTTCAGTTCTAGTTCAGTTCTAGTTCAGTTCTAGTTCAGTTCTAGTTCAGTTCTAGTTCAGTTCTAGTTCAGTTCTAGTTCAGTTCTAGTTCAGTTCTAGTTCAGTTCTAGTTCAGTTCTAGTTCAGTTCTAGTTCAGTTCTAGTTAAGTTCTAGTTCAGTTCTAGTTTAGTTCTAGTTCAGTTCTAGTTCAGTTCTTGTTCAGTTCTATCTCAATTTTAGTTCAGTTCTAGTTCAGTTCTGGTTCAGTTCTAGTGCAGTTCTAGTTAAGTTCTAGTTCAGTTCTAGTTCAGTTCTTGTTCAGTTCTAGCTCAATTTTAGTTCAGTTCTAGTTCGGTTCTGGTCAGTTCTAGTGCAGTTCTAGTTCAGTTCTAGTTTAGAACTAGTTCAGTTCTGGTTCAGTTCTAATTCAGTTCTAGTTCAGTTCTAGTTCAGTTCTAGTTCAGTTCTAGTTCAGTTCTAGTTCAGTTCTAGTTCAGTTCTAGTTCAGTTCTAGTTCAGTTCTAGTTCAGTTCTAGTTCAGTTCTAGTTCAGTTGTAGTTCAGTTCTAGTTCAGTTCTATTTCAGTTGTAGTTCAGTTCTAGTTCAGTTCTAGTTCAGTTCTAGTTCAGTTCTAGTTCAGTTCTAGTTCAGTTCTAGTTCAGTTTCTAGTTCAGTTCTAGTTCAGTTCTAGTTCAGTTCTAGTTCAGTTCTAGTTCAGTTCTAGTTCAGTTCTAGTTCAGTTCTAGTTCAGTTCTAGTTAAGTTCTAGTCAGTTCTAAGTTCTAGTTCAGTTCTAGTTCAGTTCTAGTTCAGTTCTAGTTCAGTTCTAGTTCAGTTCTAGTTCAGTTCTAGTTCAGTTCTAGTTCAGTTCTAGTTCAGTTCTAGTTCAGTTCTAGTTCAGTTCTAGTTCAGTTCTAGTTCAGTTCTAGTTCAGTTCTAGTTCAGTTCTAGTTCAGTTCTAGTTCAGTTCTAGTTCAGTTATAGTTCAGTTCTAGTGTAGTTCTATTTCAGTTCTATTTCAATCTAGATCTGTTCTGGTTTAGTTCTAGTTCTAGTTTAGTTATAATTCAGTTCTAGTTCAGTTCTAGTTCAGTTCTAGTTCAGTTCTAGTTCAGTTCTAGTTCAGTTCTAGTTCAGTTCTAGTTCAGTTCTAGTTCAGTTCTAGTTCAGTTCTAGTTCAGTTCTAGTTCAGTTCTAGTTCAGTTCTAGTTCAGTTCTAGTTCAGTTCTAGTTCAGTTCTAGTTCAGTCAGTTCTAGTTCAGTTCTAGTTCAGTTCTAGTTCAGTTCTAGTTCAGTTCTAGTTCAGTTCTAGTTCAGTTCAGTTCAGTTCTAGTTCAGTTCTAGTTCAGTTCTAGTTCAGTTCTAGTTCAGTTCTAGTTCAGTTCTAGTTCAGTTCTAGTTCAGTTCTAGTTCAGTTCTAGTTCAGTTCTAGTTCAGTTCTAGTTCAGTTCTAGTTCAGTTCTAGTTCAGTTCTAGTTCAGTTCTAGTTCAGTTCTAGTTCAGTTCTAGTTCAGTTCTAGTTCAGTTCTAGTTCAGTTCTAGTTCAGTTCTAGTTCAGTTCTAGTTCAGTTCTAGTTCAGTTCTAGTTCAGTTCTAGTTCAGTTATAGTTCAGTTCTAGTGTAGTTCTATTTCAGTTCTATTTCAATCTAGATCTGTTCTGGTTTAGTTCTAGTTCTAGTTTAGTTCTGGTTCAGTTCTAGTTCAGTGCTAGTTCAGTTCTAGTTCAGTTCTAGTTCAGTTCTAGTTCAGTTCTAGTTCAGTTCTAGTTCAGTTCTAGTTCAGTTCTAGTTCAGTTCTAGTTCAGTTCTAGTTCAGTTCTAGTTCAGTTCTAGTTCAGTTCTAGTTCAGTTCTAGTTCAGTTCTAGTTCAGTTCTAGTTCAGTTCTAGTTCAGTTCTAGTTCAGTTCTAGTCAGTTCTAGTTCCGTTAGTTCAGTTCTAGTTCAGTTCTAGTTCAATTTTAGTTCAATTATAGTTCAGTTCTAGTTTAGAACTAGTTCAGTTCTAGTTCTATTCTAGTTCAGTTCTGGTTCAGTTCTGGTTCAGTTCTGGTTCAGTTCTGGTTTCAGTTCTGGTTCAGTTCTGGTTCAGTTCCGGTTCAGTTCTAGTTCAGTTCTAGTTCAGTTCTAGTTCAGTTCTAGTTCAGTTATAGTTCAGTTCTGGTTCAGTTCTAGTTCAGTTCTGGTTCAGTTCTGGTTCAGTTCCGGTTCAGTTCTAGTTCAGTTCTAGTTCAGTTCTAGTTCAGTTCTAGTTCAGTTCTAGTTCAGTTCTAGTTCAGTTCTAGTTCAGTTCTAGTTCAGTTCTAGTTCAGTTCTAGTTCAGTTCTAGTTCTAGTTCAGTTCTAGTTCAGTTCTAGTTCAGTTCTAGTTCAGATCTAGTTCAGTTCTAGTTCAGTTCTAGTTCAGTTCTAGTACAGTTCTAGTTCTAGTTCAGTTCTAGTTCAGTTCTAGTTCAGTTCTAGTTCAGTTCTAGTTCAGTTCTAGTTCAGTTCTAGTTCAGTTCTAGTTCAGTTCTAGTTCAGTTCTAGTTCAGTTCTAGTTCAGTTCTAGTTCAGTTCTAGTTCAGTTCTAGTTCAGTTCTAGTTCAGATCTAGTTCAGTTCTAGTTCAGTTCTAGTTCGGTTCTAGTTCAGTTCTAGTTCAGTTCTAGTTCAGTTCTAGTTCAGTTCTAGTTCAGTTCTAGTTCAGTTCTAGTTCAGTTCTAGTTCAGTTCTAGTTTAGTTCTAGTTCAATTCTAGTTCAGTTCTAGCTCAGTTCGAGTTTAGCAACCACTTACTCTATAATATATAAGGCTTCCTGGATAGCAATAAGCTCATAATTCATTTAACCGCTCTTTTTTCGTTCCTCTCTTATATCTCGAAAACCACTTTGTATTAACAAAAAATCAAGAAAATTTCATCAAATTTCGATATTATGCAAACAAATATTTTTCTACAGAATTTTCTAAAAATATTTCAATGCCTGAAATGAGTCATCACCAAAAGCTATAGGCAATTTCATTCAAAATTGTAATCTATTCAGAAAACTATATATTAATTAGTCATACAACCTTCAGATGACTCATTAAAACCGATTTCTATTAAAAATATTTTAATTATCGTTGACAACAAAGATAAAAACAAAATTTGTCTTTGTTAGAGATCTAGCAAAAAAATATATTTAATATTATAACGAAATAAAAATGTACTAAAAAAATTGCAGTTTCTACACAAAATTAAAAGATTTTTTATAATTATTAAATAAAAACTAACTTTTTCTATTTTAATCCTTTACAGCTATAGCCTCACAAAATGGATTAGCGCTCCTAGCATCAATTACGCTTAAAAATGCACTAAATATCAATAATAATAACAACAACAACAATAATAATAATACTACTAGTAAAAATAATAACAATATCAATAAAAATAACAACAATCATTTAACTTTGAATCACAATAATAAAAACAATATCAATAAACATCATAAAACACCACAACAACAGCCACAACATGGTTTTATTTCAACATCAACATCAGCAATTGCATCGTCATCATCATTATCATCAACAACGTCGTTGTCAAATTCAAATACTTCAACAACAACTACAACAATACAAACACCACATTTACAACAAATACAAGAACATAAAAATGTATTTACATTTACAGCAGCCGGTCTACAAGCTTTAACAGCCACAACTATATCAACAATTAATACAGAGATTGGAGCAACTGCTGTTAATCAAACACTACAGCAACAAACAACAACAGCACTAGCAACTATTGCTGCATTATCCTCTCATAATAGCCACAACAATAATAATACCAATCATCATAATAATTCTTTATCAACGAATCATCATCAGACAAACAACAAAACCTCTAGTGCAAAAGATCCTACTGTAGCTTTATTAGAAGCCTTATCTATAAAAACAAATAAGAAACAACAAAATGTTTCAACACAGCAACAGCAAATATCAGCTAGTACAGCAACAACAACAACAGCAGCACAACAACAACAACATACGGCTGTAGGCAATGGTGGCAATAACAATACAAATACAAACACTAATAATAACAATAACAATGGCAACAATGGTGGTAATGGCAACAGCAATAAAAATAATTTTAGAATTCCGTCCGATATACTTGATGATCTGGCCAGTCGTTTTATAATTAATGTTCCCGATATGGAACTAAGTAATCTAATACGTATATGCTTTCAAATTGAACTGGCTCATTGGTTCTATTTGGATTTCTTTTGCGCATCGGAAGAGGAAAAAAAATTACAACCATGTGGTATTAAACAATTTGCTCTGCAATTATTTGAGGTGAGTTTTAAGTTTTTATATCTTATTCTTATTCTTCATTTAATTTTTCTTTAGTTTACTTCATTCAATCCATTAAATTGGAGCAGTAAAATGAAATAAAAAGAAAATAATATGTGAAAGTTTAGGTCCGTGGATAGGGGGTTTTAAAGATTTTATTTAAACTAGACTATAGAATAGACTAGACTGGACTATATACTAATAAAATAAACTATAGATTAGACTTTTTATTGGACTAAAGACTAGACTATACACTAGATTATGTACTACACTAAACTATAGGATACACAAAACTATAGACTAGATTAAATACTACAGTAAAGACTGAACTATAGATTAGACTATAAACCGGACCATAAACTTGGCTATAAACTAGACTATAGACAAGATTATAAACTAGATAATAGACTATACAACGGACTAGAATATTGACTGGGCTATAGACTAGACTATGGACTACTCTATAGACTATAAACATAACTATAGCCTAGACCATAGATTACACTATAGATTAGACTATAGACTACACAATAGAGCAAACTGTAGACTAGACTAAATACTCGACTACAGAGTATTCTATATACTAGATTGCAGAATAGATTATAGACTAGACTGTAGATTGGACTATAGACTAGACTATAGATTAGACTAGAAACTAGACTAGAAACTAGACTAGAAACTAGACTAGACTATAGACTAGACTATAGACTAGACTATAGACTAGACTATAGACTAGACTATAGACTAGACTATAGACTAGACTATAGACTAGGACTATAGCCTAGACTATAGACTAGACTATAGACTAGACTCTAGACTAGACTATAGACTAAACTATAGACTAGACTATAGACTAGACTATAGACTAGACTCTAGACTAGACTATAGACTAGACTATAGACTAGACTATAGACTAGACTATAGACTAGACTATAGACTAGACTATAGACTAGACTATAGACTAGACTATAGACTAGACTATAGACTAGACTATAGACTAGACTATAGACTAGACTATAGACTAGCTAGACTAGACTATAGACTAGACTATAGACTAGACTATAGACTAGACTATAGACTAGACTATAGACTAGACTATAGACTAGACTATAGACTAGACTATAGACTAGACTATAGACTAGACTATAGACTAGACTATAGACTAGACTATAGACTAGACTATAGACTAGACTATAGACTAGACTATAGACTAGGACTATAGACTAGACTATAGACTAGACTATAGACTAGACTATAGACTAGACTATAGACTAGACTATAGACTAGACTATAGACTAGACTATAGACTAGACTATAGACTAGACTATAGACTAGACTATAGACTAGACTATAGACTAGACTATAGACTAGACTATAGACTAGACTATAGACTAGACTATAGACTAGACTATAGACTAGACTATAGACTAGACTATAGACTAGACTATAGACTAGACTATAGACTAGACTATAGACTAGACTATAGACTAGACTATAGACTAGACTATAGATTAGACTATAGACTAGACTATAGACTAGACTATAGACTAGACTATAGACTAGACTATAGACTAGACTATAGACTAGATTATAGACTAGACTATAGACAATACTATAGATTAGACTAGACTATAGACTAGATGGCCTCAGGTAGGTGGCCTCCGGTAGGTTAGTGGTTGGTGTTCTAGTCTGGTAGACCGGAGGTGGTGGGTTCGATTCCCACCTGAGGCACTGGTTAAGGAGCGCACAACAGACTAGACTATAGACTAGATTATAGACTAGACTATATCCTCTAGACTATATCCTATAGACTAGACTATAGACTAGACTGTAGACTAGACTATAGACTAGACTATAGACTAGACTATAGACTAGACTATAGACTAGACTATAGACTAGACTATAGACTACACTATAGACTAGACTATAGACTAGACTATAGACTAGACTATAGACTAGACTATAGACTAGACTATAGACTAGACTATAGACTAGACTATAGACTAGACTATAGACTAGACTATAGACTAGACTATAGACTAGATTATAGACTAGACTATAAACTAGACTATAGACTAGACTATAGACTAGACTATAGACTAGACTATAGACTAGACTATAGACTAGACTATAGACTAGACTATAGACTAGACTATAGACTAGACTATAGACTAGACTATAGACTATACTATAGACTAGACTATAGACTAGACTATAGACTAGACTATAGACTAGACTATAGACTAGACTATAGACTAGACTATAGACTAGACTATACTAGACTAGACTATACTAGACTAGACTATAGACTAGACTATAGACTAGACTATAGACTAGACTATAGACTAGACTATAGACTAGACTATAGACTAGACTATAGACTAGACTATAGACTAGACTATAGACTAGACTATAGACTAGACTATAGACTAGACTAGACTATAGACTAGACTATAGACTAGACTATAGACTAGACTATAGACTAGACTAGACTATAGACTAGACTATAGACTAGACTATAGACTAGATTATAGACTAGACTATAGACTAGACTATGGACTAAACCATAGACTAGACTATAGACTAGGCTACAGACTAGATTATAGACCTGACTATATACTAGATTATAGACCTGACTATAGACTAGACTATAAAGTAAACTAGGCTATAGAATTGATAATAGACTAGACCATAGAATAGGCTAGAATATAGACTAGATTAAACTGGGCTATAGAATAGACTAGACTATAGAATAGATTATAGACTGGACTATAGACTAGATTAGAAAAGGCTATTTACCAAAATATAGGTTAGACAGTAGACCATACTATAGGCTAGACTATAGATATATTTTTAAGTTTTATATTTTTATTAATAGTTTTCCCTTAAAATTTTCAGCACATCCCATTCCTACGCCACCATTTATCTTCTATAGATAAAATTTTGGAAGATTGGAAAAATTACAAATTATCCGTGCCCACCTATGGAGCCATTTTAATATCTGAGGATCTCAATTATTGCCTTTTAGTGCAATCATATTTTGCCAAAAGTTCATGGGGTTTCCCCAAAGGAAAAGTTAATGAAAACGAAGATCCGGTACATTGTGCCACAAGAGAGGTAAAACAGCATCTTAAATTCATAAATAAAATTTGCAATTATTTGTTAACTTTTTTCTCTTTTTCACTTTTAGGTTTATGAAGAAACCGGTTATGATATCACTGAATTAATTGTACCAAATGATTATATTGAGGCTGTTATCAATTATCAATACACTCGTTTATATATTGTACGTGATGTTTCGTTAGAAACGAAATTCTCACCACGCACTCGTAATGAGATAAAATGCTGTGATTGGTTTCCCATTGATTCGCTGCCTGTCAATAAAAATGATGCCATATCAAAACCTAAATTGGGCATAAATGCCAATTCCTTTTTCATGATCATGCCATTCGTTAAACGTCTCAAAAAGTGGGTCAACGATAAACGTAATGGTGTCGAGACACGACGTAAATACTCAGGTGGTGGTTCACCAACATCCACATCACCCTTGACCACCGGCATTATGATGAATGGTGGTGCTGGTCAATTGAAATCCAGTTGTAAGAAACAACAACATCAACAAAAACGTAATAATTCAAATAATTTTAATGATGATCTAAATGCCTTAAATAATGCTGCTAATAATGGTGTTAATGCAACAACAACAACAGCAACTACTATGACAACAGCAGCAGCAGCATTATCTGCATCTTCCTGTGGTAATAATACAAATGCAAATGTTAATTGTTCAAATTCGAATTCAAATCGTTCTAAAAGACAACGCCATAAATCAATGGGTGATTTGGATGGTATTAAATTAAATAATTTTAATAATACTAATAATCAAAGTAATTCTAAGACGACAAATAATAATAACAACAACAATAATAATAATAATAATTGTGGTTCAACAACATTATCATCAACAACTACAACGACCACTGCAAATAGTGGTGGTAATAATAATAACAATAATTGTATTAATACAAACAATCAAAAACGTCATTCAAAAATTGTTGCTGCTGGCAGCAATGTTTCCAACAACAATACAAATAATGGTTGCAATAATAATAATAATAATAACAACAGCATTAATTGTGGTAACAATTCATCGTCATCATCAAAACGTCAATTGTTCCATAGCCAAAGTCAAACAAATAATTTACAGCAAAATGGAGAAAAGGTGAGTTTTTTATTTATAATAAATATTTACATTTTTATCAAGAAAACTCTAGATCTCTAGCTCAAGAGTTAAAACTATTCAATCGATAGTTCAAGATTTTCCTAAGAGAAGGTTTTCGTAACAGAAAACGACATTAAAGAGATTTTACAAATAAAAAATGACTTGTTTTCTCTAAAAAGTGCTTTTCATAGAAGAGCTCTTTAGTGGAACCCCCTGGTTCCAAAGCTCTTATCGCTAATTTTATTTGAAAAGCTTCGTTATTAAAAGCTTTTAAATAATGCTTTATTATTAAAAGCATTTCAGAAAGCTTTATTATTAAAAGCATTTCATAAAGCTTTATTATTAAAAGCTTTTATACAAAAAGCTTTCAAATAAAGCGTTTTTCAGTTAGTTCGGTTCTAGTTCGGTTCTAGTTCAGTTCTTGTTCAGTTCTTGTTCAGTTCTAGTTCAGTTATAGTTCAGTTCTAGTTCAGTTCTAGTTCAGTTCTAGTTCAGTTCTAGTTCAGTTCTAGTTCAGTTCTAGTTCAGTTCTAGTTAAGTTCTAGTTCAATTCTAGTTCAGTTCTAGTTCAGTTCTAGTTCTGTTCTAGTTCAGTTTTAGTTCAGTTCTAGTTCAGTTCTAATTCAGTTCTAGTTCAGTTCTAGTTCAGTTCTAGTTCAGTTTAGTTCAGTTCTAGTTCAGTTCTAGTTCAGTTCTAGTTCAGTTCTAGTTCAGTTCTAGTTCAGTTCTAGTTAAGTTCTAGTTCAATTCTAGTTCAGTTCTAGTTCAGTTCTAGTTCTGTTCTAGTTCAGTTTTAGTTCAGTTCTAGTTCAGTTCTAATTCAGTTCTAGTTCAGTTCTAGTTCAGTTCTAGTTCAGTTCTAGTTCAGTTCTAGTTCAGTTCTAGTTCAGTTCTAGTTCAGTTCTAGTTCAGTTCTAGTTCAGTTCTAGTTCAGTTCTAGTTCAGTTCTAGTTCAGTTCTAGTTCAGTTCTAGTTCAGTTCTAGTTCAGTTCTAGTTCAGTTCTAGTTCAGTTCTAGTTCAGTTCTAGTTCAGTTCTAGTTCAGTTCTAGTTCAGTTCTAGTTCAGTTCTAGTTCAGTTCTAGTTCAGTTCTAGTTCAGTTCTACTTCAATTCTAGTTCAGTTCTAGTTAAGTTCTAGTTCAACTCTAGTTCAGCTCTAGTTCAGTTCTAGTTCTGTTCTAGTTCAGTTTTAGTTCAGTTTTAGTTCAGTTCTAATTCAGTTCTAGTTCAGTTCTAATTCAGTTCTAGTTCAGTTCTAGTTCAGTTCTAGTTCAATTCTAGTTCAGTTCTAGTTCAGTTCTAGTTAAGTTCTAGTTCAGTTCTAGTTCAGTTCTAGTTCAGTTCTAGTTCAGTTCTAGTTCAGTTCTAGTTCAGTTCTAGTTCAGTTCTAGTTCAGTTCTAGTTCAGTTCTAATTCAGTTCTAGTTCAGTTCTAGTTCAGTTCTAGTTCAGTTCTAGTTCAGTTCTAGTTCAGTTCTAGTTCAGTTCTAATTCAGTTCTAATTCAGTTCTAGTTCAGTTCTAGTTCAGTTCTAATTCAGTTCTAGTTCAGTTCTAGTTCAATTCTAGTTCAGTTCTAGTTCAGTTCTAGTTAAGTTCTAGTTCAGTTCTAGTTCAGTTCTAGTTCAGTTCTAGTTCAGTTCTAGTTCAGTTCTAGTTCAGTTCTAGTTCAGTTCTAGTTCAGTTCTAGTTCAGTTCTAATTCAGTTCTAGTTCAGTTCTAGTTAAGTTCTAGTTCAATTCTAGTTCAGTTCTAGTTCAGTTCTAGTTAAGTTCTAGTTCAGTTCTAGTTCAGTTCTAGTTCAGTTCTAGTTCAGTTCTAGTTCAGTTCTAGTTCAGTTCTAGTTCAGTTCTAGTTCAGTTCTAGTTCAGTTCTAGTTCAGTTCTAATTCAGTTCTAGTTCAGTTCTAGTTCAGTTCTAGTTCAGTTCTAGTTCAGTTCTAGTTCAGTTCTAGTTCAGTTCTAATTCAGTTCTAATTCAGTTCTAGTTCAGTTCTAGTTCAGTTCTAGTTCAATTCTAGTTCAGTTCTAGTTAAGTTCTAGTTCAGTTCTAGTTCAGTTCTAGTTCAGTTCTAGTTCAGTTCTAGTTCAGTTCTAGTTCAGTTCTAGTTCAGTTCTAGTTCAGTTCTAGTTCAGTTCTAATTCAGTTCTAGTTCAGTTCTAGTTCAGTTCTAGTTCAATTCTAGTTCAGTTCTAGTTCAGTTCTAGTTAAGTTCTAGTTCAGTTCTAGTTCAGTTCTAGTTAAGTTCTAGTTCAGTTCTAGTTCAGTTCTAGTTCAGTTCTAGTTCAGTTCTAGTTCAGTTCTAATTCAGTTCTAGTTCAGTTCTAGTTCAGTTCTAGTTCAGTTCTAGTTTCAGGTTCTAGTTTCAGTTCTAGTTCAGTTCTATTCAGTTCTAATTCAGTTCTAGTTCAAGTTCTAGTTCAGTTCTAGTTCAAGTTCTAGTTCAGTTCTAGTTCAGTTCTAGTTCAGTTTCTAGTTCAGTTCTAGTTCAGTTCTAGTTCAGTTCTAGTTCAGTTCTAGTTCAGTTCTAGTTCAGTTCTAGTTCAGTTCTAGTTCAGTTCTAGTTCAGTTCTAGTTCAGTTCTAGTTCAGTTCTAGTTCAGTTCTAGTTCAGTTCTAGTTCAGTTCTAGTTCAGTTCTAGTTCAGTTCTAGTCAGTTCTAGTTCAGTTCAGTTCTAATTCAGTTCTAATTCAGTTCTAATTCAGTTCTAGTTCATTTAGTTCAGTTCTAGTTCAATTCTAGTTCAGTTCTAGTTAAGTTCTAGTTCAGTTCTAGTTCAGTTCTAGTTCAGTTCTAGTTCAGTTCTAGTTCAGTTCTAGTTCAGTTTCTAGTTCAGTTCTAGTTCAGTTCTAGTTCAGTTCTAGTTCAGTTCTAGTTCAGTTCTAATTCAGTTCTAGTTCAGTTCTAGTTCAGTTCTAGTTCAATTCTAGTTCAGTTCTAGTTCAGTTCTAGTTAAGTTCTAGTTCAGTTCTAGTTCAGTTCTAGTTAAGTTCTAGTTCAGTTCTAGTTCAGTTTCTAGTTCAGTTCTAGTTCAGTTCTAGTTTCAGTTCTAATTCAGTTCTAATTCAGTTCTAGTTCAGTTCTAGTTCAGTTCTAGTTCAGTTCTAGTTCAGTTCTAGTTCAGTTCTAGTTCAGTTCTAGTTCAGTTCTAATTCAGTTCTAATTCAGTTCTAGTTCAGTTCTAGTTCAGTTCTAGTTCAATTCTAGTTCAGTTCTAGTTCAGTTCAGTTCAGTTCTAGTTCAGTTCTAGTTCAGTTCTAGTTCAGTTCTAGTTCTAGTTCAGTTCTAGTTCAGTTTCTAGTTCAGTTCTATTCAGTTCTAGTTCAGTTCTAGTTCAGTTCTAATTCAGTTCTAGTTCAGTTCTAGTTCAGTTCAGTCAGTTCTAGTTCAGTTCTAGTTCAGTTCTAGTCAGTTCTAGTTCAGTCTAGTTCAGTTCTAGTTCAGTTCTAGTTCAGTTCTAGTTCAGTTCTAAGTTCAGTTCTAGTTCAGTTCTAGTCAGTTCTAAGTTCAGTTCTAGTTCAGTTCTAGTTCAGTTCTAGTTCAGTTCTAGTTCAGTTCTAGTTAAGTTCTAGTTCAGTTCTAGTTCAGTTCTAGTTCAGTTCTAGTTCAGTTCTAGTTCAGTTCTAGTTCAGTTCTAGTTCAGTTCTAGTTCAGTTCTAGTTCAGTTCTAGTTCAGTTCTAGTTCAGTTCTAGTTCAGTTCTAGTCAGTTCTAGTTCAGTTCTAGTTCAGTTCTAGTTCAGTTCTAGTTCAGTTCTAGTCAGTTCAGTTCTAGTTAAGTTCTAGTTCAGTTCTAGTTCAGTTCTAGTTAAGTTCTAGTTCAGTTCTAGTTCAGTTCTAGTTCAGTTCTAGTTCAGTTCTAGTTCAGTTCTAGTTCAGTTCTAATTCAGTTCTAGTTCAGTTCTAGTTCAGTTCTAGTTCAGTTCTAGTTCAGTTCTAGTTCAGTTCTAGTTCAGTTCTAGTTCAGTTCTAGTTCAGTTCTAGTTCAGTTCTAGTTCAGTTCTAGTTCAGTTCTAGTTCAGTTCTAGTTCAGTTCTAGTTCAGTTCTAGTTCAGTTCTAGTTCAGTTCTAGTTTAGTTCTAGTTCAGTTCTAGTTCAGTTCTAGTTAAGTTCTAGTTCAGTTCTAGTTCAGTTCTAGTTCAGTTCTAGTTCAGTTCTACTTCAATTCTAGTTCAGTTCTAGTTAAGTTCTAGTTCAACTCTAGTTCAGTTCTAGTTCAGTTCTAGTTCTGTTCTAGTTCAGTTTTAGTTCAGTTTTAGTTCAGTTCTAATTCAGTTCTAGTTCAGTTCTAGTTCAGTTCTAGTTCAGTTCTAGTTCAGTTCTAGTTCAGTTCTAGTTCAGTTCTAGTTCAGTTCTAGTTCAGTTCTAGTTCAGTTCTAGTTCAGTTCTAGTTCAGTTCTAGTTCAGTTCTAGTTCAGTTCTAGTTCAGTTCTAGTTCAGTTCTAGTTCAGTTCTAGTTCAGTTCTAGTTCAGTTCTAGTTCAGTTCTAGTTCAGTTCTAGTTCAGTTCTAGTTCAGTTCTAGTTCAGTTCTAGTTCAGTTCTAGTTCAGTTCTAGTTCAGTTCTAGTTCAGTTCTATTTTAGTTCTAGTTTTGTTGTAGTTCGGTTATCGCTAATTTTTTCACTGAAATGTTTTACTTAAAAGCTTTTCGCACTAACAAAAAGCTCTAATCTATTAAACAAAAACGTTTTTGCTTAAAAATTTAAAATTGTTTTATTTTTGTTTGTGTTATCTTTAACAGATTGTAAGTTCATTTGACTTAATACGCAAAGAGAAACAGCAAATGAAAGCTGCTCTGGCCAAGGCGCAAAAACAACAACAAAACGCCAACAACAATGGACGTCAAAGGGCCAAATCCCAAAGTGATAAAATGTGTATGCAGCAGCAACAACAACAGCAGCAGCAACAGCAAAAAACCAATGGCAACAATAATAATAAACAGCAACAACGTATACAAAAACAACAATCATTAATTGTTACCAATACAAATATGCAAAATTATAATATGAATAATAACAGCAACAACAACCATCATAATAATAGCAACAACAGCAACAAAAACCACAACAATAATACAAAAATTAATGTAAATAATAGTTTTAACTGTAATAATAACAATATGACAACAGGAGGATATAAAACTCCCACACCTCCACCACTAAGTGGCAATGATTTATTAGCTTTGGCAGCTGCTGCAGCCAATACAACAGCAACAACAGCAGCAGCAGCAGCAGTAGCTACATTAACACCACCTCAAACTAAAACTATGCAAAAACTCTGCCAGTCAGGACAACAGCAACAACTACAACTTAAACCCAGACCCTCATCAGTATCATTGCATTTCCCCGAGGTTTCCTCCTCCTCCTCCTCCTCCTCCTCTACGATTAAGAGAGAAAGCACAGATTTAATGGCCAACGGCCAAATGCATATGCCACAACTACAACGCATGGCTTCGGGTACAAATTTACGTATTTTAAAGAGATCAACATCCCATCAACCAACGCAACAGCAACAACAACATCCACAGCCACCACAAAGACAAGCCTCGGCTTTACAATTTACACCCAGTTTTAATTCATGGACTAATTTTACATTTACCAAAAATTTTATAGCAAATGTTTTTTGTTAAACCAGAAGAGTGGCTAAGGACAACATCCCCCCAAAGTTGCATGTAAGAATTATATGTTTGGTGTTTGTTTCTCTGACACCCCTCTCCATCCACACAACAACAAAATACTTTTTAAATGGGGCTGTTGGGGATAAGTTGTATTATTTATACTTTGTATATAAATAATGAGGTGAATTATTATTATTTTTTTTATAATTTTTAAATATTTTTATTTTAAGCAGTGTGTGGTGGTACCTTGTACTCTTTATAAATCTACTTTTTTTTCTTAAAAGAATATTTTGAATTCTTGTTTTTGTTCATATCTCAACACTCTTCTACTTATATTTTAAAAATTTTACTTTCTTAAGGTACCCACCTCCAACCACCACCCCTCTTTACAACATTTTAATATTTTTATTTTACTATAAATCTAATTTTTAAGCTTTTATTCTACTTTTTCCCCTTCCTATCTCTTTTTTTATATTTTATCTATTACCTTTCCTCTCTTCCCTTTCTTATCCATTTATTTTAACTTTTTTTTGTTTTTTACAGAATTTTTGTCAAAATTTTGTTTTATTAACTTTTGTTTTTTTTTTTTTCTTTGAACATAATTATGGATTTTAATTTTAATTTCTTATTTATTAACGAAATTTTGCTCAAAACAACAAATACAAATCTTTTTGCTTTTAATGAAAAACAAAAACTCACTTATCAAAGAAGAAAAAAGCTTTTAAATTGAATTTTTTAAGTGTTTTTATTTTAATCCTTTTCAGTCTAGTTTTTAAAATTTATAATTTTGGATTTTTTTTTATTATTTAATTTTAATTTTATTTTATTTTCTTTTGTTGTGATTTAATTTTTAAAATTTTAATTTTCTTTTTTTTTTTAATTTTAAACTTTATACAATTTTGTGTATAAAGTACAAAATCTAACAAATTAAACATTTTATTTTAGGAATTTTGCTAAAAAAAAGAGAGAAAATTTAAAAGCTCTTAAAAATAAGATCATTTTTTAAACCATTACAGTGTGATCAGTATTTCTGAATAAAATTTAATCACAATATGAATAAATATCCATAGAAAAGCTGATTAGAAAGTGATCTTTTCTATAGAAAATTAGATCGCAATTTGATCAATGATTCTATAGAAATATTAATTGAAATGTGATCAATGTTTCTATAGAAAAGTTGATCGAAATGTGATCAATATTTCTAACGAAAAGTTGATCACATTATGAACAATATTTCCATAGAAAAGTTGATCACAATGTGATCAATGTTTCTATAGAACAGTTCATCGAAATGTGATCAATGTTTCTGTAGAACAGTTGATCGAAATGTGATTAATATTTCTAACGAAAAGTTGATCGAAATGTGATCAATATTTCTAACGACAAAGTTGATCACAATATGACAAAGATTTCTATAGAAAAGTTGATCACAATATGATCAATGTTTCTATAGAAAAGTTGATCACAATATGATCAAGGTTTCTATAGAAAAGTTGATCACAATGTGATCAATGTTTCTAAAGAAAAGTTTATCACAATGTGGTCAATATTTCTATAGAAAAGTTGATCACAATGTGATCAATATTTCTATAGAAAAGTTGATCACAATGTGATCAATATTTCTATAGAAAAGTTGATCACAATGTGATCAATATTTCTATAGAAAAGTTGATCACAATGTGATCAATATTTCTATAGAAAAGTTGATCACAATGTGATCAATATTTCTATAGAAAAGTTGATCACAATGTGATTAATATTTCAATAGAAAAGTTGATCACAATGTGATCAATGTTTCTATAGAAAAGTTGATCACAATGTGATCAATGTTACTATAGAAAAGTTGATCACAATGTGATCAATATTTCTATAGAAATGTTGATCACAATGTGATCAATCTTTCTATAGAAATGTTGATCACAATGTGATCAATCTTTCTATAGAATAGTTGATAGAAATGTGGTCAATATTTTTAAAGAAAAGTTGATCACAATGTGATCAATGTTTCTATAGAAAAGTTGATCACAATGTTTTCAATGTTTCTATAGAAAAGTTGATCGAAATTTGATCAATGTTTCTATAGAATAGTTAATCGAAATGTGTTCAATGTTTCTATAGAAAAGTGGATCATAATGTGATCAATGTTTCTATAGAAAAGTTGATCAAAATGCAATCAACGTTTCTATAGAAAAGTTTATCGAAACTGATCAATATTTCTATAGGAAATTTGATCACAAAATTAACAATATTTCTAGAGAGAAATTTATCACAATGTGATGTTTTCTATAGAAAAGTTAATCACAATGTGATCAATATTTTCTATAGAAAAAGTAGAACGTTTTAAAAAAATTTTAAAATTTTGGAAAAATTTCTCTTTTTTTAACAAAACTTTTTCATTTAAAATGTTTAATTTGTTTTAAATCATAAACTTCTTTAGAGGAACTTCTTTTGAAAGAAATTTTTTAAGAAAGTTTAAGAATATTAAGTAAAAAAACAAACAAAAGCAATTAGATTATTTAAAAACAAATAAAACAAAGTTAATTTTGAGGTTAGGAGCAAGTTAAAAAGAAAGTATTAAAGAAAAGACAATAACAGAAAATTGGAAATTTTAAAAGTTTAGTAAAAGAAATTAATAAAATAAAACGATTTTAAAGGAAATAGATTAAAGTTTTTAGGAGAACATCTAGGTCGGTGACAATAAATTAAAAAAAAAGTTATATTATTATTTTTTATGAGTTATTTTGTAAAGAAAAATCGATTGTTGAATAAATTTGAAAAGCTTTTTAATGTACAAACTTAAAAATCTTTAGTGTAACAATAGCATTTCGCCAAAACAACGAAACTTTCTACTCTATCGATATTTTAGCAAACTTTCTGAGATTTTAACATAAATTTTTTTATATTTTCGATGGAATTTATTTAAAATAACGTAAAGAATGTGAATTTTATAATGTAAAAATCTTATATTGAAATTTAGTTGTGATTGGATTAAAATTAGACTCAAAGTAGTTAAGAAATTTAAAGCAGAATAGATTTCCTTACAAATCGTTTTACAAAGTAAATCTAAAGGAATTTTCAAAACTTTTTAAAGAGATAATATTTTAAAAGAAAAAAACTAAATCATCTGCAAGTAGTAATAATTTTAGCTAAAACTAAACCTCTTTATTAAATTTGTATTTTGTTTGTTCTAAACATTTTCTTCAGAAAATCTGATCAGTTTGTGATCATTATTTTCTAAAGAAAAAAACTAAATGCTTTTGTTTGGTTTTAAACTTTTCTCCTTATAAAAGAAAGAAAAAATCAAATGGTTATAGAATTTTTGTTAAAAAAACATAAACTATTTTATTCCTGTTTTTCTTAATTTTATAATGTCCTCCTCTTTTACAAAATCTTTTTAACTCCCTCCTCCAAAAAAAAAATGTCTTCCTTTTAAGCCACAAACTACAAAAGTACAATGAATTTTATATAGTTTTTAATTCCATTAAAAAATTCTCTAACCAATTGGTTTTATTTCACCCCCCCAAATCACTAAATAACAACTTTTTAAACCTTTTAAAAGGTTTATTTAACAAAAAATCTAACAATTTTATAAAAATTTCTTAAAACTAAAGAAAATTTTAAGCTTTTAATTGCCACAACAGGGGGTTTCTTAAACACTTTTATAACACTCAACTTTTACAACATTTTGTCCGGGATTTAAAACTTAAAACTTTCTTTGTGTTTAGAATTATTATAAAATTGTTAAAATTTTTTAAAGAAAAAGCTTTTAAAAAGCTAAAACTTAACATCGTTAACATGTAAAAGTATTAAAATTCAAGATTTAGAACTATGTTTACATTAACAAATTTCAAAATTCTAGAATAAAAACGAAATATTTTCTTTAGAAAAATTTTAATGGAAATTTCTCAAAATTATACATGAAAGCACTTCAGAACTTTAAAAATTAAACAAATTCCTTGATCACTTTTTAAGCAATATTTTCTATAGAAAAGTTGATCGCAAAGTGATTAATATTTCTAAAGAAAAGTTAAAAGCAATGTGATCAATGTTTCTATGAAAAAATGTGATCAATATTTCTCTAGAAAAGTTGGTTTGCAATGTGATCATCAATTTCTATAGAAAAGTTTATCGCAGTATGACCAATATTTCTCTAGAAATGTTGGTCGCAATATGATCAAAATTTCTATAGAAAAGTTAATCGCAATGTGATCAATATTTCTATAGAAATAATGATCGCAATGTGATCATTATTTCGACAGAAATGTTGATCGCAATGTGATCATTATTTCGACAGAAAAGTTGATCATAATATGATCAATATTTCTACAGAAAAGATGATTGCATTTTGATCATTATTTCGACAGAAATGTTGATCGCATGTGATAAATATTTCTATAGAAAAGTTGATCCTAATGGGATCAACATTTCTATAGCAATGTGATCATTATTTCGACAGAAAAGTTGATCATAATATGATCAATATTTCTACAGAAAAGTTGATTGCAATGTGATCAACAATTTCTATAGAAAAGTTGATCGCAATATGATCAAGATTTGTATGGAAAAGTTGATCGCAATGCAATCATTATTTCTATAGAAGAGTTGATCCTAATATGATCAATATTTCTATGGAAAGTTAATTACAATGTGATCAATATTTCTATAGAAAAGTAGATCCTAATGTGATTAATATTCCTATAGAAAAGTTGATCGCAATGTGATCAATATTTCTATAGAAAAGTTTATCAAAATGAGCGCAATAAAAAGTTGATCATAATATGATCAATATTTCTATTGAAATTTGATCATAATATGATCAATATTTCTATTTAAAGTTTATCATAATATGATTAATATTTCTATTGAAAGTTGATCATAATATGATCAATATTTCTATTGAAAGTTGATCATAATATGATCAATATTGCTATTAAAACTTGATCATAATATGATCAATATTTCTATTGAAAGTTGATCATAATAAGTTAAAATGTTGTTCATATTATGATTACTTTGTAATCGATGTTTTCTATAGCAAATATGATAAGTTTGTGAACAACATTCAGTTCGTGATCAACATTTCAAATGTTGATCATATGATCAGCTTCTGATCAAAATTTTCTATAAAAAAAGTCGTTCTGTTCGTGATCAAGATTTTCGAAATAATGACATTGAATCATT